ATGAGAAGAGAAAGAGGAAAATTTAAAAATAAAAAACTATTTTCCCTTGCCTACATTGTAGAGGGTGACTTTGGCCCTAAACAGAAAGTGTACAGTCAGGGGTTAAAGTGGATTCAGCAGGTTAAGGAACCCTAAAAATTGGACACACCAGTCTGTAATGGCTCAGCGTGGGGGGAATCCTAATTCACAATTTCTATTGAGAGCTGCAGTAGATTTTCTTAATGTACAAGCTGTGATCAGCTGTTTTAAATCCATCACAGTACAGCAAAGTAACCCATTTAACCCCTGCACTAACCTGCAGAGGATTTTCATGCAGCTTTTAAATAACAGTCAGTAAAACATAATGTCACATGTACAGACCCAATATGCGATTTAAAAACACGACAACTATGCGTATATGTTTTAAATTGCCAGTGAATCAAATACCACTGAGCAGTCTTTAATTTAAGCCCTCTCCTTCCTCTTCTGTCCTTCTTATCCTTCTCCATCTCTTTTCATGCCACACCCTCAAGTACAGATATCTGGAAATTTTACTTTAGTGAAGTAACAAAGTACAAATACTTCGTTACTTCCCACCTCTGGTGTATGCTGACATGCAAACACAGGAATTCAAACTGCTTTAAATATGACAAACAGATAAAACACGTGTAAACAGAATTCAGGAAATAAAAAGGCCGGTTAAATCACTGTGTTTAACTTTTTTGTGCATTTATAATTTTAAAACGGACGAGGTCTGAAGACGGCCTCGACTATGAAAACAGCACCAGCTGAGCCGTTTCTCGAGTCTGCAGGCTGGAACAATTTAAAACGGTCATAAACATACAAAACGATGTAAAATTAAACAGGAAGGAGAAAACAACGTTTAGAATGATCATTTAATCCCAGTAAGAAGTCGTGTCACAAAAAGCTTACCTTGCTCCAGGATGCCCAGCAGTGTCACGGCGCCGAGCCCGACCAGCTCCTCCATCATTTACAGAGTCAGACAGGTGAGGCCGACACACACCTGGTCTGCGAGGACAGGAGGACAGGTGTAATGCCAAGCAGTTCGTCTCGATAGAATTTATCTGCGTCGGGAGCGCGCACTGGGCAGGGAGAGCGGACCCAGTTGACTCCGCCTCCATTTCAACCACACCAGACCTGGAAGTTTACTTTAGTGAACAGGTGAGTGTCGTTACATTACAGTTCAGTTTGTGGGTTACAAGAGAGGGAGGGATTATTTTGGCCTTGACGCCATGTTTGTGTTTCAGATTTGCATCTTCGAGCATCCACAGCAGATCGCTAGACTCACCATGTTCATGTTCTTATCAGTAAACGGCGTCTGTTATGACATCAGGTTTGTTATTTAATTCCACACTGCCAGAATTAGTGTCCCACATCTAGTATTTTATTTACACACCTTTAACATTATGATCAGTTACTGCTCTTGATCTTTGCCTTTTTAAGTCCCCCTCCACCCACCCACGGTTCTAACAGGCTGACCCTGCCACAGTCGGTTCCCCGTGTCCAAATCATGGAGAAACAGTGTCCACCATTCTTGATTTTTTTTTTAACTCAAACACTTCTTATGACTTCTTAATTTTGGAGGTTTTAGCAGTTTTGATTCCCAGTTAGCTACACAATTGGAAGTAAAAGGTCATCTCTGAACAGATGGCTATGGGAAATATTTTACAGTTCATCTTAAAAAAGGACAATGTCTCTTTTGTATCATTTACAAAAACAAAAACACCAACATTTGATTTTGTTACAGCCTTAATATTTCCCTTTTAACAGTTTAAATTAACTGTAGTCATTAGCTGCAGTAATAAGTATTTTCACAGGGCATTTGTTTTTTTCCTACAGATGACCTGACCAACCTCTGTCACTAAAAAGAGAAAAAACAAAAAGACAAAAACAAAAAAGAAAACTCATGACACTGATGACAGCGGGTAAACTTAAAACTGTTGTCAGAGGGTTACAAGAAATCCCTGGAAATTCGAGGCTGACCCTTTTTTAAAAAAACAAAACAAAAAACAAAAAAAAACAAAAACAAAAACCCAAAACAAACAAACAAAAAAAACCAGATTCAGTGTGACAGGTGTGTCCGCGATGGTTCCACCAGCTCTGCGTGGAAAGCGCAGCTTTCTGCTGTTGGTACATCAAAGAGTAATGCCACAAATTGGCTGGAAGTAGGTGACAAGCAAGGACTTTAAATAAAAGTTTAATTATTTCATATTTAAGTAAACATAACCTAACCGAGAAAAAGATGATCAAAAGGTTGATGTCAGATGGAGTGGACGAGCAGTTTATCTGGGCCAGTTTTTAATAGCCTGCAAGACACAAGTGACCTGTATTAGCTAACAATCGACCCCCCTTCATAAAAATCAATGTTCCACTTTCACATTTGCAAATTATTCTGAAAACAAAAAAGCAACACAAGGCAGCGTTAAAACTGCTACCATACAACCTGGCCCACAAACAAGCCAACAGCCGCACCCTCACTAAAGCCAGTTTTCCTACCACCACAAATGAAGTGGAATGTAAAAGTGAACGTTGGCAGTTATGGTAATGCATGGCAAACCAGTTTTTAGTACAGGAGGTTTCTAATAGCATAGCTGATATACAGAAGGGGTCAAGTCATGTCAGCCCCAGGATAGTAAGTCAATCCTTGCAAATGGGTTCAACAGGAAAAAACAAAACAACAACCTAGGAACAGCAAGTGAAAATCTACTGTGCCTAAATGAGCACCAGATCTCATCAAAAGTGCCCAACACCAAATAATGTGCAGCTACACACCCACATACACTGCTTTGCTAAAATGCCAGTATGAGCATCAGTAACATACAAAAAACAACAATGCCTACATCAACCAAAATTTCCAAGACGCCAACAAAGAGGGAACGTAGCTCACAGCAAGTCACAGCAGTTAATGGTCTACAGAGCTACCAGACCCGACTACCAAGCTAAATTTTCATAACACTATTTAAGTTAAATTTTGCAACTCCTGCTTTTCATACATTCAACAGTTACACTCTGCCACACCACAAGACTCGCCCAGCCATGTGTCCAGTCAGGCCACAAACCCACAAGACTAATATACCAGTGGAACACCAGCCACGGAGTTTATGCTTCCCAGCCCCAGTTATTTAGTACAAGATGATTTTAACCCTAGTCTTCAGACAGATACCTGTGGTGGGTATGTAACAAGTGTCACCTGGCAGTTTGTTGCTCTCTGCCAGGTGATTGGCTGTTCACCTGTTTGTCCATGATTTGGACAGGGGGAACAGACTGTGGCAAGGTCAGTGTGGCAAGGTCAGCCTGATGGAATCACCTCCAAATAGGGGAAAGCTGTGAGCTGACCCTGTGCAAGACTGGGGCAGAAAGACTTAAAAAGGTAAAGATCAAGAGCAGTAACTAATCATAATCTTAAAGATGTGTAAATAATTCTGGTAGTGTGGAATGAAATAAGAAACCTGATGTCAGTAAACAGCATCTGCATTTATAGATGAGAACATGAATATGTTGAGTCTAGTGTGGAAGCTTGAAGGTGTAAATGTGAAACACAAACATGGAGTTAAGCCCAAAATGAGTCCTCCTCCTTTCTTGTTAACCACAAACTGAACAGTAATGTAACAACACTCACCTGTTCACTAAAGTAAAACGTCACTACTTTCTGTCGAGAACAACTGCCTGAGCACAGGTAACAGGGAGAGGGAGTAAACCTGTGGGGCCGGACGGAAAGGCCTGATAGGACTGTAGTTTCCTGACAGTTCCCTCAGGCTCTTTTCTAATAATAACCAGTTTTTGTTTCCTCCAAGAGAACGCTCGCTAGAAGCGATGGAATCAGAAAGGCTCAGGTTTGTTTATACCTGTAAGTCTGCAGTAGATGAATCATCCGTCCTTACAGCACATTTTCAGAGGAGACTGTTACAAGCCCAGGAGTTGATGTACTTTATTAGGTTCCTGTTCTGGTCAAATTGGACTTCATTGTTTATTTAGAGTACAGCAGAGCTGCAGAGAGCAAGTCAGGAAGATGTTACCTGTCAATAACCCAGCAGCAGCCCGTGTTTAGTTTTAATATTGTTACAAAGGAATGTAAATCAACGATTTATTGGACTGTAAACTCTGTTTTATTGTTAGATTTACCTTTAGGTGAGAGGAAGAAAGTTATAAACTTTTCTAAAGCTTCTAAAGTAGCTTCTGCTTTGCCCAATTAATTGAATCATTAACTGTAATGAAAAGTAACAGTTAACAGGATTAATATCACTGTAAACATGGCTTGAATAGGATGGCTGCCACTACACTGAAGTGACAAATCTGTCCACCACTCTGGGGTTTGTGTACCTGCTGATTGTGTGTCTGTGTGATTGCTTTCTGCCTGTAATACTTAAACAGCTTAAAGTAAATTCCACTGGCTTTATACAGTTAAGAGTCTGAAACACTGTGTGCACGCTGCTCCTCTTTTCTGCCTCAGATTTGATAACTAAAGGGTCCACCCCAAAACTGGTGTCTTATATTAAAAACTGTGGTTTGACAACAAAGTCATCCAGTTAAATTGCTTCCAACATGCTGCTACAGGTAACGCTGTAGTGTGAACCCAGCTGAACTGAGGTATGAAAAAGTGAAAATGATTGTGTTTGCAGCAGCATAACCTGTTAGTACTAACTGAACTCAAGACTTTTGCACAGCAATGTATGAGAAGGTGCGAGCATTTGTCACTGCTCATCGCAGTGACTGAGGATGGTGCTGGGTCTGATGAGCAGTGCGACGAGGTGGTGGCCTATGACACCATTATCAACCACCTATAACACAGTCATGAGATCGCACCCCGGAAGAGTCCCCACTCACACCTTGATCCACGTGACCTTGAATAAGAGGCGAAACAGCTTCATGAACTAGAAAGAGCTTCATTTCATTTCCATGATGGAGGACAGGAAACCTCCACAGAAAACTCAGGTCGTCTCATTTAGTGAATGTGTTGAATCAGGTCAAGAGAATTCACACAGACAGAAACACACAGGCAGCAGCTTTCTAAAGAACTATATTTACATAATACTCTTGTTTTACAGAGAACCATATCAAAAGTATAAAATACTTACAAAACATCCGCTGCAATATATAAAAATAACATCTATCTTCTCCAGATCATTAGGAAAGGCATACATACAAAAAATATATTTATAGACATTTACACAGAGCCTGTTTACAACATTTAACCCAGAAAACCCCGGGAGACCGAGCGAGGCTGGAAGTCGAAGGCGGGCCCAGGGATTGGCAGCGATTTGAATGGAAACACGAAACCATCCCCGAGCGACCGATCGGCGACAAAAACAGGAACAGCGCTGCCACGAGGACACGCAAACATGGACAACAGTACAGTAGATAGGACGACCGGGTCACCGCTCCACTTTCAACGTGGCGACCCGGCCGGAGTTCCACCTTGCAGAGAACGGTCAGAACGGTTCATTCTGATTAACGCCAGCGGTGACAACTGTGTGGACACAACGGAAGATTCATCAAATGCAGATGACGCAGCTTGAAGTCTCTGAATGACAGGAACGCCAACGCCGCGTCCCCAGCACGGAGTCTGAGAAACCTGACCGAGCCCAACGACTGCAGGGATGTTTAGTTCACATTAAATTTCTATCTTAAAACAAAGCGTCAAACTATCACATGGAAATGTTTCGATTTTCTTTTTATTCACTTTATATTTCTATCTTAAATCACATCCAGGTGAGAACAGTGGGATCTAAATCCCGAGGCCAAATTTTCTTATACATATGAAGCAGGTGTAAGACGTGGGTGAAAACTATTTTTACTTGAATTCTGCCTTAAATAAAAGGACTGACGGGGCATTTTACTCTGAATTTGGACTCTCAGGCTTTTCTATCAGCCTTCAGACCACTGTCTGTCAGACCACTGTCTGTCAGACCACTGTCTGTCAGACCACTGTCTGTCAGACCACTGTCTGTCAGACCACACACAGGGCAAAATGTCCTCATTAAAGGGCACAAGTTTCCTATGTTTTCCATGTTTTTCTGCTCAAACACAGCTTTAGAGGAGGCGATGGATGATTTCTCTGCAGGTTCTCGTCAGGCTGAATCACAGAATAACATTATGAGTGACTTAAAGGCATCGCGGTTCAGTGCGCCTGTTTGTTTGGACTCTGCGCATTCACCTGGAGGTTCAAGTACTGGACTCCGTGACAGAAACTTTCCGATTCCTGCTGCTCATTTCCCGGCGGCTTGTTACGTTTTTAAAGGACCATTTCTCTGTTTTTTTCCTCGATTTATGAAATCTGCTGGAATATCTGTGAGCCTCCAACAACCAGCTGGCCTCAAATGGCATTCCATAGGGGGGGAAAAAGGCTCAATATACCAGCAGCTCATTTACCTAAACAAAGAAAGCGCTATTGTTAAGTTATTTAAATGTTTATGGAGAAAATAATTTCCCTACAGTATGAAAATCACCCGGCTCGAGCTGTAAAACCATAAACAAACATGTTGATTCAGTCCTAAAAATAAAAAAAAAACAAAACAGACATCCAGCTGACCCCCCCCCCCAAAAAAAACAAAACAAAACAAAAAAAAACAGAGGGATGGTCCTTTAATGTGACTTAATGCTAACGTGGCGGTCGAAGGCAAGGACTGCGGGTTCAGTAGTAATCTTACTGCTGTTTTTGTGCGTGCACACAGTTTGTTTGTGTTTACCGTTGACTCGTGTGCAGGTGTTTAGATTTACACTCCTGGTGGAAGAGAACAGAAAGTCTCAGAAACCAGTTTAATCAGTTCAGGCTACTTCACAACAATCAGGAAACCTTCAGGCAAAGGGTCACAAACACTTTCAGTCTTTATATGGGGAAAAATTAAACCGAGCTTCAACGCTCTGATTTCATTTCCTTTAAAAACAGCTGATCCAGTATCAGGTGGTGTGTTTTTCAGGCTTTGACCTGAATCTCGTCTGGCTGCTCTCGGAGCGCCAGTTAGTTCTTGTCCTGTTCATTAGCAGATATGCTGTGATGTTTATCACGTAATGTCCTCCAAATGTGCAATAAAAGGTCGAACACCACACAGCAGCCAATGTTTGGCCCACACCTGACTCTGAAAATCAGCATCTGTCCCTGTTGTGCCAAAGTTAGCCCAGATTAGGCCCAAACACGCCTGCTGTGTGCTCATTTCATTCCATAAATTTAGAAAGTTTGAGGACAGAAGCTGATTAGTGCCATCCTGCAAGGATGACAGCAGCTTAAAAGAAGGTGGCGATCGTTTTAGAACCAATATTAATATTTAAGAAGTTATTAAGTCCACTTTTTTTTTACCCCAATCTGCATTTTTAAACTGGTTTTATTTGTATAGTGCATCCAAGTCCAGAATGGAAGCTGATGTCAGGACTGCAACAGTAATTTTTTTAATGTTTTTTTTGAGGACTTTTCTACCAGGAGTGTTTTTACACACCGAGCGCTTCGGTAATCTGCTTTTCTGAACAGAGCTTTCGAGGACCGCGTGGAGATGTTTAACGACAATTTTCACTCAAAATGACAATACGATCAGTTTCATAGTGGACTATCCCATCACTCTTATTTTGAAAGGTCAGTCACTGCCCCAGCCATTCCTGTCGTGTTTCCCACAGACTCGCTCAGCTGCTTTCCAGAGACTCCATCACCTCATCTCATATGGATGCCTGCGGATCACCGCTGATGTGGGCAGATGTTCTGAAGCTGCGGTGAGCTGGGAGGTCATGCCACCTTGAACCTGAAGCAGGTTTAGCGAGGTCACCGCGGCTCCAGAGCAAGAGGACAGCCAGCTGCAGTCCGAACAGCGGGATGAGGAACTTCCTGGAAAGGCAGCTGGTTTTCTTACTCTATTATTTAAATATTTATTGATCTAATGAAGAAAGTGTGGTGTTCCCACCCGTGAATTCAGTCTGATCTGTGGGAAACCCCGGAGGAGCTCAGCTGCACGGATCAGCTGACTCAGCTGAATTGCAGAGCCTCCGAGCAGGAATGTGGCCTCTTACAGGAGTTCTGAACACTTTGTGTTTCTTCATCGTGCCGCAACGATTCAACGGCCAGTCTGTGCGTGTGCGGTGCTGACAGGCTTCTCTCTGACAGCGTGAGAACGTGACGCAGTCGCCAGCCTTCTGCGACTAACGCTAACACGTGGCGGCAGCAGGAAGTGGTCGGCAGCTCACTCTGCAGGCTTTGTGTGTGTGCATGCGTGTGTGAGACTAGTGGTGGTTGGCGAGCAGTTCGTCCAGGTCGGCCATCCACTCCTGCGTGTTCTGTCCTTTCAGCAGCGAGTCCACCAGGTCGCTCTCCGCGGGGAAACTCCCCGATGCCACGTTGTATCCGAATGACACCTGATGCTGCTGCTGACTCACTGTTTGGCTCACCTGGTATCCTTGGTTACACTGTAGTCCCTGGCGACCGTTGCCTTGCGGCTGTCCGAACGCTGCCAGGTTGGGGAGTACGGCCTGGTTCTGGGGGCCCTGCTGCTGATTGGTCATTGGCTGGCCCTGTCTTTGGGGGTTGGGCAGTGCCCTCTGCTGGGGTGCTGCCATGTTTGTCTGCATCATTTGTTGTCCGGGATTCAGACCACCCATTGGACGTCCACCTGGGTTGCCTCCAAAGGGGGCAGAGCCGGATGGCATCTTGGGAATGCAAGGCTGCTGCTGCGGCGGCATGTGGAAGGCATTGGGGGGGGCGCTGAAGGACAGGCCTGCATTACTGGAAGGCGGCTGGTTGACGAGCTGCTGCTGCCAGGCGGTGCTCTGACCGCCCGGCATGCCGCCCCCCATGTTGCCCTGCATGGAGGCCGGGAGACGGGCAGCTCCGGCCACATGAGGCTGCTTCAACATAGCTGCATTGGGCGGCGTCTTCAGGTGCTGCTGCTGAGGCAGGAGGTTGTGCCCGTATGGAGCGCTCATGGTGGTGTTCAGAGACGTCTGGCGCTGCAGACTGGGTTGCTGGGCCAGGTGGTTGGGGTGCATGCTCATGGTGTTGTAGAGGACGTCCACGCCGGCTCCACCCCCCTGACTAATGTCAGCCTGACTCACTGTTGGGGGCGGGGCTACGCCACCTGCTGGACCACCACCCTGACCCATGTTCATGCTCATCATGCCCTGGTTCTGAGGGAACATACGGGACCCGGGGGCGGGGCCTCCCATGGAGCTGACACTGCCCATTGGCTGAGAGGAAGCTAAACAAAACCAGAAGAACAGGAGAAAACAACAATCAGGAAAACGTGCGTCAAAATCTTTTTGCAGAGTGGGCCACATAAGTGGGTCGCCCCAGTGAAGCTCCTTAGTCGCACATTTAATCCCTGAGATCTCGTAATAGAAAACATAAAAGAATTTTGTTTGTCCCCGTAACTCTAACCCTGCTGGAGCTGAACCGCTGATCTGTTCAGCTACTTTCATTTCCCATTCAAATGAGCGGCGAGGGGTATTTACACAGTCAGGCTGAACCCACAGAAACCAAACTCACTCTGGTTTCACTTGTCCAGATAAAAACTGGTTTTACAAGGTCCTGATTCTGGCTTCTCTGTTGGCTCCCTGCATGTTTTAGATGTCATTTTAATTATTTAATCTTTTGTGTGCTACGACTTTCTGCAGTAACAGATCATACCATTTTTAACGGGATTTATCCTAAGGCCGGAAAACACGACAAACCTCTGAGCTGTGCTTCTCCATAAACTCGATCATATTGGAAGCTTCAGCTTCAGCCGCCCGAGCTGCAATCTTACGGTCTTTCCCCGGTTAAGGTTTATGTTTGATGCCGGATTTGTTTGTTCTGTGTTGTTTTTTTTTAAACTGGGATCAACTCTGCATTTTGAACCTTGAAATTATTCTTGAAAAAAAAAAAGAAGCATGTTTTCAAAACATTTCATGGTCCGATCTTTTGAAGCACACGCACAACTTATACCCAAGTGTCGGCACTTTGATCCTCCTTCCTCCCGTGGATGAGGAAGGATACCAAACCAAAAAGTCCCATACCAATCCCATACCAAAAAGTTGCAGAACACACATTCAAATAACTCCTACTTCCTGTTATGATTACTTAAGTGCCTTTTTTGGTACTTAATAATTGTGTTAAATTCTGCATTGCAAGGTGTCTGCTTCTTCTTATATTTTGTGGCCTTTGATTTTGTGATTCTGAACTGAATCACAAAGCATTCATTATGAAATAAATAAAGCAAAGAAATAAAAAAAATTCCCAGGAAAGGCTGTGATCCTGCTCAGGAGCGTTTCATCTTTTTCCACCTTTTTCTTTCAAAAAAATAACCACTTTATTGTCTTCTGTGTATTCTCCCTGAACAACCACAGGGGGCAGTAATGAGCTAATTCCACATGTGAAGAAGCAGTAGGCAGTTTTTCAGAGTTACAGCTCTGTCACAGAGGTATTCATGCCTGAGAGACCTGAGAAATGCACTGTGTGAACACTTCCTGTAGGCGTACCTGTAAACTGGTTTGCCGGCTGCTGTGGGTAAGGGTTCTGATTGGCCGTTGTTCCCGACTGGTCCTGGTACTGTGGAGGAGGTCGGGTCAGGTGTCGCTGCCGCTGCTTCTCCTGCACAGACACATGGAGAGGGTTACTGTGTGGGCTTCAGATTTAGGACAGAAGCGAGGTGTAACTCATTATCACGTGGCAACTGAAGGTGAGCAGTGCAATGACAATAACGGAATAAACTGACCCTCTCCGCGTTCAAGCAGGTTGGAAATGTTGGAACCACCTGCAGGTGAGTCGTACCTGTTCGGCTAAAATCTGCTGCTGCCTCTGAATGTACTGCTGCTGTTTCTGCTGCTCCAGGATCTGCTGCTGATGATGTTGTTGCTGTTGTTTCCTCGCTGCTGCCTCTTTACTGGTCATGTATGCGTTACCGTGGTTACCCGGCATGGCGTTGTTTCCAGGCTTGGACGTCATGGCGTTTGTGGGCCCCGGGCCGTGTGGAGGAGCGGGGTAGCCATTCTGATCCTGCAGATGAAGTTTTGTTACTGAAGAAGAAGCGACACTTTTTTCCTCTGCTCTAAAAAAGCTTCATGTGACTTTGGTAACAGCGTCAGGTAGTTCTTCATGACTCCAGCACAGAGCTGCTGTCGAGCAAAAAGTTTAACCAGAACATCTCATAGGTTACCTGCTGCAACGTTCTCGTTTAATAACTTCAACCACTTGTTGAGCGATCCTTCCATTCAGAAACTTACCGGTCTTGTCTGTATGAAAACAGACAACTGTTTTTCTTTGTAAAGCTCATGATTTCAGATCTTTAAAGTGGTGAAGTTATACGGATATTTTTGAGTTGATTAATATTGTGTGTTCATTCGTCTGATTCTATGCTGGGATCATTTAGGTGTGTCCTAAAGTCCTCTTGACAACAATCTTTATATCTGAAATTATGGAACTTGTCTTAAAAGCCTCCGAAAACCAGCCACCATTTCTACAGCCTAGTAATGCTGTTCCTTCCTGACCAGCTGTCCTTGAACAGCACATTTTACTTTCAAGAATGAAATAAAAGCAAAATAAATTAAAATAAACTTCATCTTGGTTAAAACAACATTTACAGATTAAGTGGGACAGCCTTCAAATGTGATGATCAGAGGGCAGTGGTTCTGAAATCCTTACTAACTATAAATGTAATTTTAGTTTTTGACAACACTACTAATTGTTCATTTTTCACTGCACAGACTTTACCTGAAGGCCTGCTAGTGCCCCCTTGAGGCTGAGGAGGGAACTACAGGCTTATGATGGCTCTACTGCTGAGAATGCACGGTGCACCCTGAGGGGGGAGCTACAGGAAAGGTTATTCCATTCAGGAAGACGTATCCTTGAAATTAGCTGGGAATGTTCATCTTTGAACAAAATGCAGACAGACAGCAGCGCAGGAACAGTGTGTCCTGTCTGCTGAGAGGAAAAGCACAGGCAGGAGCGGCTAAATTTAAATACACAGACAGGGACAGAGGGGGGAGGGTGGGGGTATAAAGTATGAAAGGCTGCTTTGTCATGGCCTCCCTCCCTCCCTCCGTCCGTCCATCCACCCCCCCGGGAGGGTTAGCAACCAGCTGCTCGACCCAAACAAACACTAACAAGCTGAACAAAAGGCTGCTGCCTGATTTTACCGCCCCCCCACCCCCACCCCCCGCCCATATTCCAGTGAGGAATATGGGGGGATTTAAGTTTTTCTGTCAGTGTTGGCTCTAAATCAAGTTCGGATCACGTGTGATGGCTGTGTCTCGTGGGTGCTTCTCACCTGTGGGTGTGGCATATGAGGCCGGTAGGGCTTCTCTTTGCGGCACTGCTGCTGGATGAGTGAAAGCAGGCCCACCTTCTGGTTCTGGTTAGTGGGTCGCGGTGGTCCGGGCCCCGCCTCATAGTGCGACAGAGGTTTGGTGTTGTTGTAGTTCAGCATGACGGCCGGGGCCTGAGCACCTGCTGCCGGCGCGTGGCTGAGAGGCGGCCCTGAAGTCGGGTGACCCAGCATGTTGGGGTGTCCGGCGGAGCCCGGCATGAAGCTGGCACCCGCCTTTGGAGAGGCCTTGTTGGGCTGACTGGATATCACCAGCTGCTTCTGGGCATTGGGATTGAAATCCTGTGAGTAAAGGGAGTTACTTGTGGATTTGTCCATACCAAATGCACTCGCTTGTGAGCTTTGAGAGGTATTGGGCATCTGGGACCATGGAGAGGGGTGGTTGGGGTGGTTGGTGAACTTGGCTCCTGGCTGCTGCTGCTGCTGCTGCTGCTGCATATGTCTGTGGAGGTGCTGGACTCTCTGCTGCCGGACAGCCAGTTCCTGGAGCTGCTGGGCAGGGGACAAGTCTTTGGGCCCCTGAGGGAGGAGGTGGTTGGGTGGAGGCTGGATTTGCCTGGGAGGAGCAGGCTGGGAGGTGGGAAGAGCTGGGGAAGAGGCAGAGGAGGAGGCTACAGGGGAGCTAGTGGGATGAGGAGGAGCAGTCCCGGAAGGCGTGGATCTGACTTGGGGGGAGCCAGTGCGAGAATCCTGCTCAAAGACGGCAGAGGGTGGGGAAAACTCCGCCTTCACGCTCACCAAATCTGGAGGAAGTAAACCCTGGGAAGACTGTCCCCCCCCTCCTGCCCCTCCCCCGACAGCACCACCACCAACCTGAGTGGCTGCCAGTTCCAGAGGGTCTTTGCGGTCCTCAAAGCCATCGTTGAGGATCTCCTGGATGTCTTCGTAGTCCACAGGGAAGTTCAGCTCCTCCATCAGCTCTGTCCACTCCTGTTCGTTCAGTTCAGGGAACAGGCTGTTGTTGCCAACCGGGGGTGGCATGATGGGGAGGATGTCGTCTGGCTCCTGCTTCATCTCTTTTGGATGGAAGTCTGGACCCGGCTCTCTGCCACCGTCCGCTGACTCGCACATGGGCCCGTTAGAGTTGCTGATATCTGGCTTGGAGTCGAGCGGGGAACCGGCGGTAGCGCTGTTGTCCTGGCAGCCTTTCTGGCTCGACGGGAAGCTTTCATAACTGTTGACCTGTCCTCGCAGGTCAGGGGGACTGAGGCTCTCCAGCTTCCTCTTTAGAGTCTCCTGCAGTTGGAGCGACAAAAAGAAGCATCAAGAGTTACTCTAAGCAAAACCCCAGACGGTTCAAACCTCAAAGTGAACCTCTGAGTTTAAAAAACAAACACATACATACATAATACATACATTACTACATTTTATCTGACCCAGACCCAGCATGTTACACAGGGTCTGAATTCTGACCGGCTGACAAATAAAGTAAAAAAAAAAAAGTGCTACTTTGTTTGGGAAAATAAAACCTAAATCAGCGAAAGGCTTTAAAGAAAATATTCCAACACAAGGCTGAAAGAGGAGGGCAGGGGTGATTTGGGAATGACCAAGTTACCAAAACCTTTGTTGCACAAAAACAGGATATAACATGAATAATTGTCAATTGTCAAATTGATACTTTGTGGTGCATTAGAAACTGATACCCTGTTCAACTGCTTCTGTTTTTTGTGTAATTTGAATTCTTTCTCACTTTGGTATCATCACCATCAGTAGGCATACGCGCAGCTGAGCTGCAGGGGGTGTGCAGCAGAGAGACGGGTGCTGCTAAAATCACCGGCAGGCCGGCTTACATAAGGATATAAGGGGCAGTCGGCAGGTCTAACGGCTGCGTTCTGTCGGCAGCTCGATCGCCCGATCGCAGCACGTCAGCTGATCCTCACACTGCGTGATTGCCAAACGCTCTGAACACCTGCGGTACCCGTGATGACGAGCAGACAGGTGGACACAAGCTCCAAAGCGCCTCCTGCTCTGGAAAGTCAAACAACAGTAATGTGACACCGCTCCTCAAACCGGCTCTCAGCGTCCAAAACAGCTTGCAGGTTGTGCATGATAACATGAACTTTTCCTTTAAACCTTTTTTGTTGCATATGTGACATGTTCCAGAACATTAACAAATAAAACTTTTACTACCAAAAGCAGGAAAAAACATCTATTAGCATATTTGGGCCGACTTTGAAAGCAAAAGTGGCCCCTGTGTGTGAGCAGATTTATTAAACCAAAATTACTCTGATAAAAGAAAAAGCACCCTCTGAAGTCTGTCGTCATTACTGATTTCCGGGTTTAAGCTCTTCTTCAGTTTCCAAAGATCATCCAGAGCATCCATGAAAACGAGGATTTCCAAAGTTTAACCATTTTCAAGTCTGCAGGAAGTTAGCTCACTTGTTTCCATCTAAAGATGAGACATTAACCCTCTCCATGATAAGAAAGAATACTAAACAGCAGCCATGTTTGTAGGGTTACTGAAGGTGGGCTAACGCAAAAGACGCTGAAATCAAATCAAACTTCAGTGAGAAGAATAGCACAGATGATCTATCCACAGCACAAGTTTAGTCATTAATGTGCTGCTGTGTGATTACTCGCAGTGAAAAATACCTGACCCTCAGCTTCATGTCCACATTGAAACCTTAGTTCGCCTCAGAGTCACTCTGATGTTTGGCATCTGGGAAACTAGGGGCTGAAGATACATCTCAAGGTTTTAAAAACGGAGCTTAAAGACGCGGTGCACATGAATCGTGCTGATAAAAACCCGAAGAGGTCAATGATGACCGCTGATTATTATTAAGGGCTTATTTATATTAAATAAAATAAGATACAAAACATTACAACACCTTAAAAAAGAAAACAGCAGTCAAACATCCTACATCATAGGGGTGGGCGATATAAACGATATACGATAGAAGAAACTATATAAATTTGGCCAACGATAGACAATTTGACTATATCGCTCTATCGTGATAGCGCATATTGATGATGTTATCAAGCTGCGCCTGTTTTGGTCGAAATCATCGCAGCGGCTAAAACCATTATCATCTGCAAATTATGCCGGGCGACAGTCATAGCAAAGAGATGAAGCACTTTTGAAATAAGGGGAAAGCCAAAAACTGCGCTTCCTCCACTTCCGTAACATTGATTCATTAATGTTGAATTCTCTCGCAGCTGCTCTATTCCCATGTTGTTGCAGTATATTAATAACTAACCTCGTATTGTGGATGAATAATCTCAGTTGTTCTCCTGACTGAAGTTTGGCCCATGTATAGCATCCTGCTATGCGATTGCATTTGTCCCCGACCACCAGAATCCCTCACGTTAACTTTTAATGAGTGGAAAAAAGTTGGC